CTGGGTTGTCTTACATGGAGATAAGTACAAACTTCTCATAGGCTGTGTTTATCGAGCACCAAGCTCAACAAAAGAAACTGATGCGTTATTAGCTAAATCGTTTGCACACGCATCCTCGTTTAGTGCTAATTACAAAATAATTGCAGGGGACTTCAATCTTCCAGAAGTCAATTGGCTAACTAGTTCCGGCCCCCAACGCTTCGACGAATTACTTGCCACTATAGACTGTTATGGATGGCAACAACACGTCCAGACACCTACTCGTGGTGACAACATGTTGGACCTTGTTTTTTGTCATGACACAATCCCAGTATCCACGTATGTTGGTAATCGATTTTCCAGTAGTGACCATAGAATGGTACTCTGCTCTCTGCCTTTCTCACCACTAAATACAGGAAACAAACAAGACTCAGGAAGCACAATATGTCGTAGTTACAAATATACAGACTGGGGATTAGTCCAAGAACTTATTCGACTCTGTCAATGGGATGACTATTTTACCACTGACTCCCTGGAGGCCTTAGTAACCCTGTTTTACAGGAATGTTACCCTTTGTCTAGATACAGTTGCTCCAAAGAAAATAGTGAAATTAAGTAGACACCGAACTGAATATATTCCAAGGGCACACCGTAATAAGTTAAGGAAGCTGAAGAAACAGTACTATTCCACTAAGGACATATCACTATTGCTCTCAATCCACGAGTCTCTTGAATCTCTCAAGCGCCTACGCTCTCAAAAGGACCTCGACGAAGAGTTAACGGCACTTGAAAGTACCTCCAAAGTTTATAACTTAACGGCACTTCTTAAAAAACGAATGCAGTCGGCGAGGGAAATCCCATACTTACTTCACGACAAAGTAATCTACAATGAACCTGCCACTATCTGTGAACTTTCAGTGATTGGTTTGCAAACTTTAGTTTAGAAACACATATGCCTGGTGAAACCGCTCCCCTTACTATCTCTTCCCTTGAAAGCATTGTGTTCACTAATCAGTTAATAGTACAAGCAATTAAAAGCCTTAAACCTTCCACTAGTACGGGACCGGATGGCCTCGCTTCGATAATTTTCAAAAACAGTGGGTGTGATATACCCTTGTTACTTCTTAAATTCTTCTCAATATCTATGGACACTGGCACTTACCCTAGTGAGTGGAAAACTAGCTTCATAATTCCACATTACAAATCTGGTGATAGGGCAAACGTCCGCAATTACAGACCCATAAATATAACCCCAGTTATCTCACGAATCATGGAGAAAGTTGTAAAGGATCAATTGTCAGACTACCTAATTAGGGAAGATCTTGTTACAAGGTCTCAACACGGATTTCTCAAAAATAGATCCTGCGTTACTTGCCACTTCGACTTTTTCAACTGCATCACTAGTAGTCGCGAAGCACGTAAGCTAGTCGTTGTTCTCTACTTCGATATATCTAGGGCATTTGACATGGTATCTCACAGTATTCTCTTTGAGAAGCTGTACTCTTGTGGAATTCGCAACCCATTACTGAACTGGTTAAAATCATTTCTAAGCAACAGGGTACAAATAACCAAAGTTGGATCTGTATTGTCTCATCCTAGGCAGATCTCAAGTGGGGTCGTGCAAGGTAGTGTCCTAGGTCCACTTTTATTCACAGTCTACATTAACAGCATTTGCAAGTGCTTCACCTCAGGCAAACCATTCCTATATGCTGACGACCTCAAAGTCGTCTACTCCTGCTACACTCATGAATTAAGCGATATGGTTACTAAAATACATCTTGAACTAAGTAGCCTTGCAACGTGGTGTGCTGAATCCTGTCTAAATTTTAACATTGACAAATGCGGCTGGATTTGTATCGGCAACAGTAAGCTTGATCTAACTCTTGAAATAAATGGGCGAAAACTAGCTAAGCTCAACTCAGTCGTAGATCTCGGTATTAGATACTCTAGTAACCTAACGTTCGCTGAACAGACTGATTATGCCAGACGTAAAACGCGAAGGCTGATAGGATGCATAACACGCAATTTCTTTTGTTGTGAAACTAGGGTTTTATTATACAAAGTATGTGTCCGACCTATCTTAGAATACTGCCCGTTTATTCTTAGCGGACTCAGACAAAATGACAAGCTTAAATTAGAGGGAGTGCAACGGCAGTTTGTTGAGTACGTAACAATGTGATTGTACACTTTTTGGTTACTTGTATAAATTGGAGATATTGTACATAATTTTTGTTTAAAACGCTTCTTGTTGAAATATACATAACTTCCGTGTACAATTGAAAAATACACTCTGCTGTTGGAGACTTCTTCTTCTCCCTGGTCACTTCTGCTTACTTGCTCCACTCACACCGTGTTGTATACTTCGGATTTATTGTAGGAGCCTACTACTCTCAACCGAAGACATTTCTACAACCGGAACACAGCAGCTACAGCAGACGCTGTCCAAACAATTAACGTGCCTGTGGATTATATAATTAATTTGTAGCCGAGGACTTAGACGTTATATACAAGTAATCCTTTTTGTTGCTATAACTCGTCACTGTATTTTTGGTAATATATTGTGATTTAACACTCCACTGACTTGGATTATTACTTTTATACTTGGAATGTTAGTGAACTCTAATATTAGTCCCCTACAAATTAATTGGTGAGCCCGATAAGAACACGGATTATTTTGGCATATTCGTATTCTTATTTTTGCTATTTTTATATTCATTGTGATTTTGTGTGTGGTTTATATTTGCATCCTAATTTGCACCAATAACCTCATATATATAATGTCATCACCTCAGTCCGGTACATCAAACGAGCAGACAACTAATAGCGGGACAAATGCCACAATAAATGCCATCACTGATTTTCGTTTACCCCAATACGGTTTCGCAGAACCAAGGATTTGGTTTGCTGTAATTGAACCGTTGCTAGAAGCACGGGGCATTAAGTCCCAAATTGCCAAATATGGTATGGTGCTGGCAGAACTTCCTCCGTCAGTATTGACAGAAATCAGCGATTTCATCGAAGATCCTCCGACGGAACATCAATTTGATAAACTTAAAGCCCTCCTCATACAACGTACCAGTCTGTCGGATGAGAAAAGAATCCAACAATTGCTCACAGGCTGTGATCTAGGCCCACGTAAACCATCCCAGCTGCTCAGGCACATGCGCCAGTTAATCGGAAATCATAAAGTAGACGAGGTAGTGCTGAAACAGATGTGGTTGCAACGTTTACCTAGAAATGTCCAGCAAATTTTAATCATATCAGGAAAGTCGTATGACTTAGACCAACTAAGTGACATGGCAGATAGTATTTTGGATGTTTTATCCGATAACACCATAAGTCACGTAGCATCTGATAGTGCCACACCGTGTCATTCCACACCCACGGCAGACACACCGATACTCGCCGCCACTGCAGACTTAGCGGCAAGGATTGACAAGTTGGAAACTGATAAGTCTGATCGACAAGTCCGGAGACGGAGTTCACAAAGAAGGTCACCATCACGACGACGATCCTTCTCACGACAGCGTTCTTACACGTCTTCTCGGGATAGCAATATATGCTGGTATCACTGGAAGTTTGGACGTCATGCCCTGAAATGTGTAAAACCGTGCAGCTTTAGCGAAGCCAACCAGGCTCAGGGAAACGCCTAAGCCAGACAGTGATGGCGACAGCTGTTATTGGCAAGCAAACAAGTCGCCTCTTCTATGTGAAGGATAAAACTTCAGACACTTTATTCCTGGTAGACACGGGAGCAGAAGTTAGCGTAATCCCTCCTTCACTATAAAAAAAAAAAAAAAAAAAAAAAAAAAAAAAAAAAAAAAAAAACACTCGACACACAAGCATACAGACGTATGGAGAGCAATCCCTCATACTGGATCTAGGTTTACGTCGGCGTTTCACATGGATTTTCATGGTAGCCGACGTCAGTCACGCCATCCTCGGAGCAGATTTCTTGAGTAATTTCAACCTGTTAGTTGACGTCAACAATAAAAAACTGATTGATAACAACACCCAACTAAAGATCCATGGAATTATCTCTAACTATTCTGTCTATAATATCAGTATTGAAAGACCAGTTGATTGCACTTTTTCCGCCCTACTTCATCGTTTACCTAAAATTCTTAAGCCGTCGTAAAACATCGAGGACGTCCCTCATACAGTCACTCACAAGAAAGTTACTACGGGTCAACCAGTTCGTGCTCGTCCTCGTAGATTACCCCCGGACAAATTGGCAGCAGCCAAGGCAGAATTTGAACACATGATGCAGCTCGGCATCATCAGACCCTCCAATAGTCCTTGGTCTTCGCCCTTACACATGGTGCCTAAAGCTGATCATGATTGGAGGCCATGTGGGGATTACCGACATTTAAACAATGCCACAGTTCCCGACCGTTATCCTATTCCTCATCTTCATGATTTCTCCCTGACATTACACGGAAAAACCATTTTTTCTAAAGTAGACTTGGTCAGGGCCTATCACCAAATACCAGTTGCCCAAGAGGATATCGAAAAAACGGCCATCATCACACCTTTCGGTTTGTTTGAATTTCTCCGCATGCCATTTGGCCTAAAGAACGCAGCACAATCCTTCCAACGTTTCATGGATCAGGTCACACAAGGTTTGGACTTTGTATTTGTATATATCGATGACGTTTTAATTGCTAGCTCGTCGCCCGAAGAACATACTGATCACCTCACCATCTTATTTCAACGATTTGAGCAATATGGAGTCGTCATTAACCCCAAAAAGTGCATATTCGGTGTCTCCTCTATACAGTTTCTGGGACACCACATAACCGCGAATGGTATTACGCCTACGGAGGAAAAGATAGAGTCCATCAAAAACTTCCCCGAACCAGATTCACTCAAGAAGGTCAGACGTTTTTTGGGGATGTTTAATTTCTATCGGCGTTTCATTCCTTCGTGTGCCTCCATCGTCCAGCCGTTAACCGACCTCCTTAAAAATGATCCTAAAAAGTTTCAGTGGTCAGCTGAAGCACGCGAATCATTTTGCAACGCAAAAGATGCCTTATCCAGAGTCACTATGCTATCCCATATCAACCCCGAAGCGTCGCTTATTTTGTGCACAGATGCCTCCCAAGTAGCTGTAGGGGCAGTATTACAACAAAAGATGAAGGGCGAAGTCACCCCACTCGCATTCTTTTCTAAGAAGTTGGAACCGGCTCAGACACGATACAGCACTTTTGGGAGAGAATTGCTGGCCATATATCTTGCAGTGAAGCATTTCAGTTACTTACTACAGGGCCGGCATTTCACTATTTTTACTGACCACAAGCCCCTGTGTCATGCTTTCACTACTTCACTTGATAAACACTCCCCTAGAGAAGCCAGACAGTTGGATTATATCTCCCAATTTTCAACCGACATTCAGTACATCAAAGGGGATGCGAACGTGGTAGCCGATTCTCTTTCAAGAAGTGACATTAACCAGCTCCAAACGTCGGTAGACATCAGTCTTGATCGTATGGCTCAATTACAAAGAGATGACGTTGAACTCCAAACCTGCCGCAGAAACTCTTCCTTACAGCTCAAAGATGTGCCTATCCCCTTATCAGATGCAACCATAGTCTGCGATGTATCTACCGGCACTAATCGTCCATTTGTCCCTCTCAGTTGCCGAAAAGCATTGTTCGAACATTTACATTCGCTTTCTCACCCTGGAGTACGCGCCACGGTCAGACTGATCAGCGAACGCTTCGTGTGGCCTAAAATGAACTCTGACATTCGGAGATGGGCACGAGAATGTATCCAATGCCAATGCTCCAAAGTACACCGCCACACTATTACAACCCCGAAGACGTTTAAATTACCCGAAAGGAGATTTCAGCATATCCATATAGATATCGTGGGACCATTGCCAACATCAAGGGGATATACACATATCCTGACAGCGATTGATAGATTTACTCGTTGGGCTATTGCATGCCCCTTAAACGACATATCTGCTGAAAACGTTGCTTTAGTTTTTCTCGACCGTTGGGTGTCAAACTACGGTGTACCAACTACTATTACATCCGACCGCGGTCCTCAATTCCAATCGACACTCTTTCGCGAACTGACGAGACTTCTGGGAGTGAAACATATCTCCACAACAGCCTATCATCCGGCAGCGAATGGTCTAGTGGAAAGATTCCACAGACAACTGAAAAGCTCCCTGATGGCGCAGAATGATACATCTAAGTGGAGTGAATACTTACCTTTGATTTTACTTGGTATCCGTTCTACTATCAAAGAAGATTTAGGATGTACACCGGCTCAACTTGTCTATGGCACCAACCTAACCTTGCCTGGACAGCTAGTCCCCTCAGCCGATTCCACAGACGTGAACATTGCCGACTTCACTAACCGATTAACTAGACAAATGCTTCAACTTCAACCAACAGCACCTCGACAATCTCCCCGAAGAGATCAGATCAACAAACATCTACAAACTTGCAAATTCGTCTTCATTCGAGTCGACGCCATCAGAAAAGGATTGCAACCTCCATACGAAGGACCCTTTCAAGTTATTAAACGTTCAGACAAACACTTTACAGTGAACAAGAATGGAAGACGAGAGACTGTTTCAATTGATCGAATCAAACCCGCATACACCGACAACGACTTCGAATCTACATCGGCAGCTGCGCAATCAAATAATCAAACATCCGATTCCCCTCCACCGGCACCAAGTCTTATCCTCCCTCCATATCACACACGTAGTGGTCGGCAAATCAGTAAACCGGCTCGCTACGTTCATTTTGAGGACTAACAAAAGAAAAATAATTAAAAATTATTATTATCTTTTTCGTTTAGACATTATCATCATGACCGTTAGTATTTCGTCGTAAACTTTGATGTTACTATCACTATTATTTATTTATATGTACCTCACCGAAAAAACAGGTAGTGTCCTTTCCAAAAACTATTGATCTTTAATCCATATTTTTTTAAATGTTTCTTTCCCCTCCTTAATTACTGTGTATTTACATATTTTTCTTTATACATTAAAAATCTATGTTCATGGTTAGTGCAAATTTAAGTGACATGACTTTCTATTTCAATTTTTATTGCTGAACTCATTGTATATGCTTTCAGACTTTACATGATTCACATACCTTCTCGCGTTTATGCATGTTGTAATATATCCCTATTTTTATCCAAAAGTTGCTATTACTATTATTATTTACTTCATAGTTTTACTTATCATTTTCCGGTTGTCTCTCCGGACCTCTAGGGGGGGAGCCGTGTTGAGTACGTAACAATGTGATTGTACACTTTTTGGTTACTTGTATAAATTCGAGATATTGTACATAATTTTTGTTTAAAACGCTTCTTGTTGAAATATACATAACTTCCGTGTACAATTGAAAAATACACTCTGCTGTTGGAGACTTCGTCTTCTCCCTGGTCACTTCTGCTTACTTGCTCCACTCACACCGTGTTGTATACTTCGGATTTATTGTAGGAGCCTACTACTCTCAACCGAAGACATTTCTACAACCGGAACACAGCAGCTACAGCAGACGCAGTCCAAACAATTAACGTGCCTGTGGATTATATAATTAATTTGTAGCCGAGGACTTAGACGTTATATACAAGTAATCCTTTTTGTTGCTATAACTCGTCACTGTATTTTTGGTAATATATTGTGATTTAACACTCCACTGACTTGGATTATTACTTTTATACTTGGAATGTTAGTGAACTCTAATATTAGTCCCCTACAAATTAATTGGTGAGCCCGATAAGAACACGGATTATTTTGGCATATTCGTATTCTTATTTTTGCTATTTTTATATTCATTGTGATTTTGTGTGTGGTTTATATTTGCATCCTAATTTGCACCAATAACCTCATATATATAATGTCATCACCTCAGTCCGGTACATCAAACGAGCAGACAACTAATAGCGGGACAAATGCCACAATAAATGCCATCACTGATTTTCGTTTACCCCAATACGGTTTCGCAGAACCAAGGATTTGGTTTGCTGTAATTGAACCGTTGCTAGAAGCACGGGGCATTAAGTCCCAAATTGCCAAATATGGTATGGTGCTGGCAGAACTTCCTCCGTCAGTATTGACAGAAATCAGCGATTTCATCGAAGATCCTCCGACGGAACATCAATTTGATAAACTTAAAGCCCTCCTCATACAACGTACCAGTCTGTCGGATGAGAAAAGAATCCAACAATTGCTCACAGGCTGTGATCTAGGCCCACGTAAACCATCCCAGCTGCTCAGGCACATGCGCCAGTTAATCGGAAATCATAAAGTAGACGAGGTAGTGCTGAAACAGATGTGGTTGCAACGTTTACCTAGAAATGTCCAGCAAATTTTAATCATATCAGGAAAGTCGTATGACTTAGACCAACTAAGTGACATGGCAGATAGTATTTTGGATGTTTTATCCGATAACACCATAAGTCACGTAGCATCTGATAGTGCCACACCGTGTCATTCCACACCCACGGCAGACACACCGATACTCGCCGCCACTGCAGACTTAGCGGCAAGGATTGACAAGTTGGAAACTGATAAGTCTGATCGACAAGTCCGGAGACGGAGTTCACAAAGAAGGTCACCATCACGACGACGATCCTTCTCACGACAGCGTTCTTACACGTCTTCTCGGGATAGCAATATATGCTGGTATCACTGGAAGTTTGGACGTCATGCCCTGAAATGTGTAAAACCGTGCAGCTTTAGCGAAGCCAACCAGGCTCAGGGAAACGCCTAAGCCAGACAGTGATGGCGACAGCTGTTACTGGCAAGCAAACAAGTCGCCTCTTCTATGTGAAGGATAAAACTTCAGACACTTTATTCCTGGTAGACACGGGAGCAGAAGTTAGCGTAATCCCTCCTTCACTATAAAAAAAAAAAAAAAAAAAAAAAAAAAAAAACCAGGCGATCTACAACGGACACCCAAGCATACAGACGTATGGAGAGCAATCCCTCATACTGGATCTAGGTTTACGTCGGCGTTTCACATGGATTTTCATGGTAGCCGACGTCAGTCACGCCATCCTCGGAGCAGATTTCTTGAGTAATTTCAACCTGTTAGTTGACGTCAACAATAAAAAACTGATTGATAACAACACCCATCTAAAGATCCATGGAATTATCTCCAACTATTCTGTCTATAATATCAGTATTGAAAGACCAGTTGATTGCCCTTTTTCCGCCCTACTTCATCGTTTCCCTAAAATTCTTAAGCCGTCGTACAACATCGAGGACGTCCCTCATACAGTCACTCACAAGATAGTTACTACGGGTCAACCAGTTCGTGCTCGTCCTCGTAGATTACCCCCGGACAAATTGGCAGCAGCCAAGGCAGAATTTGAACACATGATGCAGCTCGGCATCATCAGACCCTCCAATAGTCCTTGGTCTTCGCCCTTACACATGGTGCCTAAAGCTGATCATGATTGGAGGCCATGTGGGGATTACCGACATTTAAACAATGCCACAGTTCCCGACCGTTATCCTATTCCTCATCTTCATGATTTCTCCCTGACATTACACGGAAAAACCATTTTTTCTAAAGTAGACTTGGTCAGGGCCTATCACCAAATACCAGTTGCCCAAGAGGATATCGAAAAAACGGCCATCATCACACCTTTCGGTTTGTTTGAATTTCTCCGCATGCCATTTGGCCTAAAGAACGCAGCACAATCCTTCCAACGTTTCATGGATCAGGTCACACAAGGTTTGGACTTTGTATTTGTATATATCGATGACGTTTTAATTGCTAGCTCGTCGCCCGAAGAACATACTGATCACCTCACCATCTTATTTCAACGATTTGAGCAATATGGAGTCGTCATTAACCCCAAAAAGTGCATATTCGGTGTCTCCTCTATACAGTTTCTGGGACACCACATAACCGCGAATGGTATTACGCCTACGGAGGAAAAGATAGAGTCCATCAAAAACTTCCCCGAACCAGATTCACTCAAGAAGGTCAGACGTTTTTTGGGGATGTTTAATTTCTATCGGCGTTTCATTCCTTCGTGTGCCTCCATCGTCCAGCCGTTAACCGACCTCCTTAAAAATGATCCTAAAAAGTTTCAGTGGTCAGCTGAAGCACGCGAATCATTTTGCAACGCAAAAGATGCCTTATCCAGAGTCACTATGCTATCCCATATCAACCCCGAAGCGTCGCTTATTTTGTGCACAGATGCCTCCCAAGTAGCTGTAGGGGCAGTATTACAACAAAAGATGAAGGGCGAAGTCACCCCACTCGCATTCTTTTCTAAGAAGTTGGAACCGGCTCAGACACGATACAGCACTTTTGGGAGAGAATTGCTGGCCATATATCTTGCAGTGAAGCATTTCAGTTACTTACTACAGGGCCGGCATTTCACTATTTTTACTGACCACAAGCCCCTGTGTCATGCTTTCACTACTTCACTTGATAAACACTCCCCTAGAGAAGCCAGACAGTTGGATTATATCTCCCAATTTTCAACCGACATTCAGTACATCAAAGGGGATGCGAACGTGGTAGCCGATTCTCTTTCAAGAAGTGACATTAACCAGCTCCAAACGTCGGTAGACATCAGTCTTGATCGTATGGCTCAATTACAAAGAGATGACGTTGAACTCCAAACCTGCCGCAGAAACTCTTCCTTACAGCTCAAAGATGTGCCTATCCCCTTATCAGATGCAACCATAGTCTGCGATGTATCTACCGGCACTAATCGTCCATTTGTCCCTCTCAGTTGCCGAAAAGCATTGTTCGAACATTTACATTCGCTTTCTCACCCTGGAGTACGCGCCACGGTCAGACTGATCAGCGAACGCTTCGTGTGGCCTAAAATGAACTCTGACATTCGGAGATGGGCACGAGAATGTATCCAATGCCAATGCTCCAAAGTACACCGCCACACTATTACAACCCCGAAGACGTTTAAATTACCCGAAAGGAGATTTCAGCATATCCATATAGATATCGTGGGACCATTGCCAACATCAAGGGGATATACACATATCCTGACAGCGATTGATAGATTTACTCGTTGGGCTATTGCATGCCCCTTAAACGACATATCTGCTGAAAACGTTGCTTTAGTTTTTCTCGACCGTTGGGTGTCAAACTACGGTGTACCAACTACTATTACATCCGACCGCGGTCCTCAATTCCAATCGACACTCTTTCGCGAACTGACGAGACTTCTGGGAGTGAAACATATCTCCACAACAGCCTATCATCCGGCAGCGAATGGTCTAGTGGAAAGATTCCACAGACAACTGAAAAGCTCCCTGATGGCGCAGAATGATACATCTAAGTGGAGTGAATACTTACCTTTGATTTTACTTGGTATCCGTTCTACTATCAAAGAAGATTTAGGATGTACACCGGCTCAACTTGTCTATGGCACCAACCTAACCTTGCCTGGACAGCTAGTCCCCTCAGCCGATTCCACAGACGTGAACATTGCCGACTTCACTAACCGATTAACTAGACAAATGCTTCAACTTCAACCAACAGCACCTCGACAATCTCCCCGAAGAGATCAGATCAACAAACATCTACAAACTTGCAAATTCGTCTTCATTCGAGTCGACGCCATCAGAAAAGGATTGCAACCTCCATACGAAGGACCCTTTCAAGTTATTAAACGTTCAGACAAACACTTTACAGTGAACAAGAATGGAAGACGAGAGACTGTTTCAATTGATCGAATCAAACCCGCATACACCGACAACGACTTCGAATCTACATCGGCAGCTGCGCAATCAAATAATCAAACATCCGATTCCCCTCCACCGGCACCAAGTCTTATCCTCCCTCCATATCACACACGTAGTGGTCGGCAAATCAGTAAACCGGCTCGCTACGTTCATTTTGAGGACTAACAAAAGAAAAATAATTAAAAATTATTATTATCTTTTTCGTTTAGACATTATCATCATGACCGTTAGTATTTCGTCGTAAACTTTGATGTTACTATCACTATTATTTATTTATATGTACCTCACCGAAAAAACAGGTAGTGTCCTTTCCAAAAACTATTGATCTTTAATCCATATTTTTTTAAATGTTTCTTTCCCCTCCTTAATTACTGTGTATTTACATATTTTTCTTTATACATTAAAAATCTATGTTCATGGTTAGTGCAAATTTAAGTGACATGACTTTCTATTTCAATTTTTATTGCTGAACTCATTGTATATGCTTTCAGACTTTACATGATTCACATACCTTCTCGCGTTTATGCATGTTGTAATATATCCCTATTTTTATCCAAAAGTTGCTATTACTATTATTATTTACTTCATAGTTTTACTTATCATTTTCCGGTTGTCTCTCCGGACCTCTAGGGGGGGAGCCGTGTTGAGTACGTAACAATGTGATTGTACACTTTTTGGTTACTTGTATAAATTCGAGATATTGTACATAATTTTTGTTTAAAACGCTTCTTGTTGAAATATACATAACTTCCGTGTACAATTGAAAAATACACTCTGCTGTTGGAGACTTCGTCTTCTCCCTGGTCACTTCTGCTTACTTGCTCCACTCACACCGTGTTGTATACTTCGGATTTATTGTAGGAGCCTACTACTCTCAACCGAAGACATTTCTACAACCGGAACACAGCAGCTACAGCAGACGCAGTCCAAACAATTAACGTGCCTGTGGATTATATAATTAATTTGTAGCCGAGGACTTAGACGTTATATACAAGTAATCCTTTTTGTTGCTATAACTCGTCACTGTATTTTTGGTAATATATTGTGATTTAACACTCCACTGACTTGGATTATTACTTTTATACTTGGAATGTTAGTGAACTCTAATATTAGTCCCCTACAAATTAATTGGTGAGCCCGATAAGAACAC